GAGAAAGGGTCTCTCTGTAGCCCCAGGTGTCCTGGAGCTCACTATGTAGACCAGGCTGGCTTTGAACTCTCAGAGATCCGCCTGCCTCTGCCTCCCGAGTGCTGGGATTAAAGGCATGCACCACCATGCCAGGCCTACAGTCAATAAATAAACTGAACTACTATGAATAGATTAATATGCAACAGTAGAGAAATAAACACAACCAAAACTTCATTTTAGAAAAGAAGTCACACATTCATCATTCACCAGATCTGAGGACATACCTTTTCACCTGGATAGGAATAATGGAGATAGTAAAACTCATGGGAGTCAGTTTCTAATTTTTTCTTGTTTAACCAGTCTGTATTTAGGCCAAAGTTATGCTCAGAACAGTGGTTCTTAGACTTAGAAACGTATTTGAATCACATAGAGGGCCAGGGAGATTTGTAAAAACTACAAGTATATTCCTTTCAAACCCTTGCACTAAGAGATTTGACCAAATTAATCTGACTTCTAGCAACCTAAGGGCAAATTACTAGAACACAGAGTGCCCCTCAGGAAAATCATAGTGTTAGCAAAATAATTTAATTTGTTGTACCCCATAACTGATCATAGGACTCAAGCTCCCTCGTCTCTTGTAAAGCATTTACTAAAAGGGGTTTATAATCATCAGTCTTTCTTATTCTGTCCCTTAGAGACATGTATGGCTCTTCTACAACTCAGGAGTGTCTTTCTAAAGGACCTGTGAACCATTCCTTTAAAACCTAATCATCAGGAACAGGGCCTCTGTCTCCCAGTCTCTATAGCAGGATAGAAATCTAACATCTGGCCTAACCATACTTACAATGGCTAGTCCTCTGCGGGGGTTTTTTGTTTCTTTGTTTTTTTCAGTTTCCTGATGCTGTTCTACCCCCACCCCATTTCCTCTCTTCCTCTTTTCTTCCACTCATCCCTGGGCAAATGGAAACAAAGCTCAGCCTTTTCCTCCTACTGTCAGTAACGAATAAACTCTGCTACAACACTTTGCTTGAACTTATGTTTGACTTTGTCTTTGACACCACTTAAACCACAGCTTTCTGCTTCTCCCCCAGTATTTCTACTGTTGCAAATCTAGGTGAGGTGAGAAAACAATATTTGGAACAGAGTTCACAGGTGTTGCTGATGTGCTGACCCAGAATCACTACTCTGGCTGGTCATTTATAATCTCAGTTCACTAGATTTTATTTTCTACTGACAAAATTTCTCTAAAACTTTGACAGCCTGTTAGTTTCATTTGGGGGGAACTCCTAATTGCAAATGTTAATAACAATGGCTAATAATCTTAGGGGAGTCTCCTTTTTTTCAGTTTTGGGGACAGAACCCAGCACCTTGAACATGCTAAGTAAGTACTCCACCATTGTTGCAGCTTCTCTTTCTTAGCACTCTACCTAAGGATTTGGTTCATTCTCCTCAAGGTCCTCTGGACCTGAGATCCACTAGGAAATAGGCTGAATTCAGTACTGTGAAACCTTTCTTTTCTGATCTGCCATGGGGATGTTTGCTTGACGCTTACTGTATTCCAGTTGAAGGCATTTACAAGAGGTTGATCACATTTGGGGGAGTTTGTAAACATGGAGTACTTAAAGGGCATGTACAGATGACTTTACCGATACCAGATACCTAATCAGTGAAATCTTCAAAGTGGGACTGAGCTTTGTGCTACAAGTCAACAGAGGCCAAGGATATTTAGCCGGCAGCAACTGAAGATCTCTTCATAATAATCAGAAGTGCTGCTTTTGTTGGTTTTTGTTTGTGGTACTGGGAAATGGAAGCTAGGCAAGAATTCTACATGGAGCTGCGTGCCAGGCTCCAGGGATGATCTCTTCTGAGTCCGGGGAGCAATAAGTAACTGCTTCACTGTCATATAATAGAATTGCCAACTCCCTTCTTTCTCATCAGCAGATTCTAGAGGATTACCGTCTTTGTTAGCTCTACATATTCAGGGCTTATAATTTGCCACACCTCATTCCTGGATTAGTTATTCTTTTGGGGACCAAATGTGCTGAGTTCACATTTTGGTGAGTACAAAGACAAAAGAAACATAGCTAAGACATTAAAGAGTGGAGAAATATTTATTATTTGCAGCAGATTAAGGAGGAGACCTTAGGAATTAATTCTAAAACAATGCCCTCTGAACAAAGGAAGCATGGGGATTTAGGGACTCTATAAATAGGCATATAGGAAAGCACTTTACAGTGGGCAACGTTTGTGAGCATGTTCAGTAGTGGAGCACATTCCCAAGTACGTTCAGTTTAAGGTCATAATTTAAGAGGGAAAGAGACACGCTTTAGGCATGCTTAGCTCAAGGCCATGGAGCACATATTTAAAAGGTTAAAATGGGGACTGCAGAGATAGCTCAGTGATTAAGAGCACTGGCTGCCCTTGCAGAGGACCCAGGTTTAGTTACCAGCACCCACATGGTGACTAACAACCATCTGTAACTCTAGTTCCAGGGGATCTGATGTCCTCTTCTGTCCTCTACAGGCATTGCATGCAGAGGGAGCACTCACATACATCCACAAAAACCACTCATACACATAAAACAAAAATAAATAAATAATTTACAGGTTAAAGTGATGGAGAGGACTGCCTCTTAGCTTACATCTATAAAGCTTTAGATAAAACAAAGGAAATGACACTTTACGTGTGCTCCTGTGTGTATAGGTGCACATGTAACATGAGGGTGTGTGTACCTCTGGGAGAGGCCAGAGGACAACCTCAGAGATTGTCCTTAGTAGTCATCCACCTTTGTTTTTGAGACAGGGTCTCTTATTGGCATGGAATGTACTAATTATGCTAGGCTGGTTGGCCAACAAGTTCCAGTAATGCACCTCTCTCCACCTCCCCAGCACTGGAATTACAAGTGCACAGCACTGAGCCCAGCTCTTCAGAAATTTACTTATTTATTTTGTGTGTTTGAATGTTTTGACTGCATGTATGTAAGTGTACCACATGCATGAAGTACCTGCAGAGGCTAGGGGAGGGCTTCAGATCCCCTAGAACTGGAGTTACAGATGGTTGTGAGCCACCATGTGGGTGCTGGGGACTGAACCTGGTTCCTCTGCAAGAGCAGCAAGTACTCTTAACCACTGAGCCATCCCTCCTGCCTGAGCCCAGCTTTTTGATGTGGTCTCTCAGGATTGAACTAATGTCCTAGTGTTTGCAAGGTAGCACTTTAACCACTGAGCAATCTCCCTGGCCAAGAAAGGATACCTTAAAAATACATTAATACAGATGCTTGCAAAGAAAAGTGTCTCACTTAGTGCCCACCAATTTTCATAAGTGGTTTCTAACCCAACTCTTAATTTGCTGGGGTATAGTTTGTTTTGCTTTTTTCTTTTTTCTTTATTTGAGACATTGTATTACTCTTAGCCCAGGAAGACCTGGAAATCACTATGTAGCCAAGGATAGCTTCAAACTTGGGCAATCCTCCTGCCTCAGCCTTCCAAGTGCTAGAGCTACAGGCTGAAGTCACCACACCCACTTCCTAACGCTATCTTAAGCAAAAACAGTAATAGCAACAATATGGGATTGTGGGGCTGAAGAGATGGCTCAGCAATTAAGAGCACTTGCTGGTCTTCCAGGGGATCCAGGTTCAATTCCCAGCAACCACATAATGGCTAACAATCATACGTAACTCCAGTTCCAAGGGATACTATGCCCTCTTCTGGCCTCTGAAGGCATTGCATGCATGTGGTGCACTTAACAAGCATGCAGGCAGAACACTCACACATTAACAAGATAAAATACGGGCTGGAGAGATGGCTCAGAGGTTAAGAACACTCGTTTTCTTGCAGAAGACCCGGGTTCAAATCACAGCACCCACATGGCAGCTAGCAGCTGTCTGTAACTCCAGTTTCAGGGGATCCCACAGACTCCTCTGTCCTCCACGGGTGTTGCATGACATGGGTGCGCTTACTTTCATGCAGGCATAACACTCATACACATAAAGCAGAAAATAATAAAATAATTTTTAAAAAACTTAAAATATGGGATTGCTTCAGAGAAACCAAGGATAGGAATGTCTTAAGAATGATTTGGGGGCTAGAGAGATAACTCAGCAGTTAAGAGCACTGGCTGCTCTTGCAGACGACCTGGGTTCAATTCCCAGCATGCACATGGCAGCTAACAACTATTGGTAAATCCAGTTCCAGGGAATCCAACACCCTCTTGTGACCTCCTCAGGCATTGCACGATGGGGTGAACTTAAATACATGCAGGCAATGCACTCATACACATAAAATAAAAATAATAAATAAATGTATAATTAAAAAATGATAAATAAAATACATATTTTAAATGATTTGAAGTCAGGAGTGGTGGAGCACACCTATAGTACCTGCACTTGGAAGGCTAAAGTCAGTCAATCCAGAGAGGTTAAGGCCAGCCTGGGCTACATAGTGAGTTCAAGCCACCTGAGTTGCCTAGCAAGAGAATGTCTCAAAACAAAAGAACAACAACAAAAAGAATTAGCTAGATGCTGGAACTTCAACACCATGAAGATTTTCTACCTCTCATCTCTGATCTCAGAGTTTACATTTTCTTTTTCTTCATGCCAAAGTTTTGCTTCTGTTCTGCTGATGGGAAAATTGAATGCTGAGTTCCCAAGTTTTACACTTGGAGAAAAGATGGTATCGCTAATGTAATTTCACATTTCTAGGGAATAACATTCTGATTGACCCAGGTTGGATTAGGTGTCCACCTCTGAACCAGTCAGCTTTGGAGATGGCAATATGACAGTATTTGTTTGCTGGCTTTCTTGTTTCCTGGAAATCACCACATAGCCCAAGCTGGCCTCAAACTTAAGGTGATCTTCCTGCCTTAACCTCCTGAGTGCTGGAATTACAAGCATGCTTGGCTAACATGACAGTTTTTTTTTTTTTTTTTTTTTTTTTTTTTAAAAAAAAAAAAAAAAAAAGGGAAGGGGTCAATTCCAGGAAAATGGATGCTGGGCAGATAATCCATTGTGTGCATTTTACCACAAAACATCTATTCCTTCATCCTTTATTCCTCCCATCCTTCATCTCTTCAAACCATTGCCCTTTCCTTTCCTTTTAACTGCTTGTTTTAAGTGTTACCTATATGTACTGCCTCTTTGCCACTCTGGCTTGTTCCGCATCAGCTAATCTTATGATAAATTCCTTTATGGAATTTGCAGCTCTTTTTTTTGCATTTCCATCCTAACAAATTATTCCAGCATCATTCATTTTGATTACTCCTAGGTTCTGCACTTTTGTGCTCTGCCATTACTTACCGCCTTGCTTTCTTCTGTATTCCTGCTGAAGGAATGGGCCCTAACATCTAGGCAGAAGACAGGTGCTACATGGGCAGTACCTGAAGCATGCTGAAAACACTTTTCAAAAGATCGTGAGGAAATTAGAGCCCTTGCAGCTATTTTGAAGTGTTCCCACACAAACGGATTCATTAAGTTTGAAAACAAATGCCCTAACCTTAAGCCATGGCCCAGTGAGTACCCAAAAGGTCCAGCTTGTAGTTTAATTTGTGTGTTTATCTCCCTGACCAGAGATCCTGGGGGAAGTGATAATTCAGTTTCATTTTGACGATACATTGTCTTAGGTAAATGTTTCACCATTCCTAGTGTGGACAACAATGCTTCAAAGAATTACAGTGGCTAAAAGTAAGTGGATTGATACACAAACAGCAGTGATTGTTATATTTAATATGCGTTCTTTCCCATTCATTAAGAGCTATGCATATTATCTTTTCCATGGAAGGGAAAATTCTCCCTCTCAGGGAACTTTAGCTCACTTTAGCCAAATTCAATCAATCCACTATACTTCTTTTCCAGTGTTGTACCCCACCCCCATTCCCTTTTCTGGGAATAGCTGTATAACACCCTGAGGCAACCTGGCAGGGTGAAAGGAGTTCGCGCCCCTAAATCTTAAACACACATTTTCATGCCCCGCCTCTTCTGACCCTGTGATTATCAGGCCTGACAAGGGCCTAGTTCCTTGACTGCATCTCCAGGCCTTACGGGAAAAGACTACGACTCCCAGGATGCCCATCTCTCCGCCTCGATTCCCTTCCCCCTGCTAGAAAGCTTGTATCACGGAGAAGACGAGGCAACATGGCTCCCGGTGGTGGAAGGCAGAAGCTTCACCCCCTTTGAAACGGTGAAGAATAGCGGCGGGAGAGGAGCAAAAAAGAGAAGTGACTACGAGCCTTCATCACTTTTATCTTCCCAGCCTCGCTTGAGTCTGGTCAGCCTCACCTCTGCTCTCCACCCTTAACCCAGCCTGTGGTCTCCTCCCCTCCCCACCCTCGCTTCCTCGCCCCTCCCGTAGGGAACCCTTTGCCCGCCCCCCTCACCCCCTGCGGAGTGCGCACGCGCCCGCCTCCGGCTTCGCGCCGGGATCGCGTACTGGTCGGCCTGCGCAGCCGCCGTCTCGTCTGCCCGCCGAGAAAGCATGGGCGTCCAGGGCTTCCAAGAGTTCTTGGAGAAGCGCTGTCCTGGCGCCGTGGTGCCGGTGGACCTCCTCAAACTCGCGCGCACCGTCTCGCGCCAGCAGCAGCAGCACCTACACCGCCAGCTGCCACCAGCAGCCCTAGCGCCGGGGGCTCCACGCGTCATCAGGGGTTCTGCTCCTCTGCAGCCGCCGCTCCCGCCCGCTGCCTTTGGTGCCTATTCCGGGGGCGCGGGGCCGACTCGGCATCATCACCCTGCTCACCATTTCCACCACCATGGCCAGGCGCAGCCGGGGCTGCACCCGCCGCCGCCGCCCCCTCCGCTGCCCGGGGCCCGGGTGCTGGTAGACGCGGGCTCGGCGCTGCCGCGCCTCTATGGCGGCTACCAGACGGATTGGGTTTGTGGCGGCCAGTGGAATGCCATGCTGGGCTACTTGTCAGCGCTGTGCCAGGCTTGTGCCTATCCCGGCGGCGACGGCCTGGAGCTGGTGGTCATGTTCCCCGGGGGCCTGGGCAAGGACCGACTGGCCGAATGGGGCCGTCGGTGTCAGGCGGAACGGCAGACTGCGCAACTGATCGTGGGACACGTGGGCAACAAGGGCACCCCTCCACCGCGGGCCTGGTTCCTGCCACCTGCCTGCCTGAGCCACTGCGTGAGGCTAGCACTCATCCGCTTCCGGGTCAAGGTGAGGGAGGGGTCAGATTTTCAATAAAATGCCCCACATCTGTTCCCTCCAGACTAAACACCTAACCATTCACCGACCTCCTTGCCTCCTGTCCACTCACTCACCCAACCTACTTGGCTAACTACTTGACCATTTTATCCACTTCATCCCTTCATACAGCCTCCTAACAGTTCACACACCTAGACCCTATCTCTACCCACGTCATCCTTAGTAGCTCCCTTTACCTTCCTTTATCCAGTTGGCCTACCTGTTGCTTTTGGCAGAATGTACTCAAAATTTCTTTGGGGCCTCATGTTTCTCCTGCTGTCTTCTCCCTCAAACTGTAATGCATTTTTTCATTTTTTCCAGTTGATATCCCTCCCCTATTTCTCTTTTCAGCCTCACAGCAAGTCAATTAAACAGGTGTTAATCGAACACTTTTCTTCTACATTTCCCTCCATTTTGAACCAGTGCTGCCTTTTCACTGATCCATGCAGTCTTTTTCATTTCAACAGGCTTCTATCTTGGCATATCTTAGCCTAAACAGACAACTCACTGATTCAGCAAGTATGAGCACACTGTGTGTAGGGGTTTCAGACACATTTGAGACACCATTCCTGCCTTTAGAAAATCAAGTGTATACACATATGATATTTATTTAATGGTGTAAATGCACGCTGTTTTATGGTACGGATAGTAAGTACAGAACCTGTTTGCGTGGGATGGGGTGGTATTTGTGAACTACAATGGTCTGGGAGACTTCCTGAAGACAGACCTCACCTGAATAGGCTGGCTACGAATGGATCACAGGTTTTGGAGGCGGTTGTTTTAAGTGGTGGAAGAAGTTGAGCAGAAGCAAAAAAAAAAGAAAACCAAATGTGTGAGGCCCCATGGGCAGTTAAGTCCAGTCTGCATGAAGTTGGGTCACTGCATATGGGTCTCAGGGAAAAGCTTGGCAGCATCCCCAGGTCTTGGCACCACTGCTCTTCCTCTGTTACTTTCCCATACTTCTAGGATTCAAGTTCCTACGTGGGGAGAATAGCAAGGCTTGAGAAGTAAGGAGGTGGGTATGAAGAAGGAAAAGTAGTACAGGGTTTGAAACTGCAAATTCCCCAGCCAGGCTTTTGGGGGATGTCCTCCTAGGACAGGGGATTTAGGGATTCCAGAACTAAACAGGTGATAGCAAATGGAGTAAATGAGAATATTTCAGGCGTGAGACTGTAAGGTCTACTACATAGAGAAGTTTACAGTGGTCATAGAGTGTGACTAGTTCTGTTATGTTAGATGCCTAGTGCCCAGCATCAAATCTGTGCCTCAGCTGGGTATATTATAGCTGTTTTAATTTGAAAAGCCAGCAGTGGGTTAGGGACATAGCACATTGCTAGAGTGTCCTTACCGACCAGGAGGTCTTGGGTTCAGTCCCCTAATGCCATGCATGCAAAAATGCAATCAGGGGCTAGCTTAAATATAAATGTATCAAAAAAAAAAAACCCTACTTGCATGTTCTCCTGACTGGACATTTTATTTTATTATTTATGTGTATATGTTGGGGCAGGGGTGTAGGGGAGGTGGCATTTGCCTTCAGATGCCAGAAGAGAGGGGAGATGGAGTTACAGGTATTTGTAAGTTGCCTGATTTGGGTGCTGAGAATTGAACTCGGGTCCTCTGGAAGAAGTGCTCTTAACGGCTGAACCATCGCTCCAGCCTCCTGACTGAACATTTTAAAACAGATTCTTCATCTACAGCCATTTCCCTCTACTTTGTTTTCATGGATACCATTCAGGCTTTAAGGATTTTTTTTTTTTTTGCTCCACTAATTTTTACCATGTTATTATTGGCAACTTGACTGTGGCCACTAGTGATGACTATGTTGTTGGGGCAGTTTTTTAATTTTTAATTAATTATTTTATTTATCTATTTATTTATTTATTTGTGATGCCAAGGAAAATGCTCTACTGTTGAATGACATCATAGCTTTTAAATGCTTTTTGTAAAATTACTGTCTCATTGGGTCATTACAAAAATTCATGAACCAGCATTACCCTGTTTTCCAAATGGGGAAGGTTGCCCGGAGATAACCTAGTAATAAGGGACAGAGCTGGGATTCTGGGATTCATGTACATGCAGTGTGGCTCCAGAGCTCTCTTTACAACAGTGCTCTAAGATGAAACTTTCTAAAGTGCTGTCGGTTAGATAATTTCCTACTGGACTAAATACTTCATTGACTCCTGGATAAAAGACAGGTTCGGTTAATTCATTTGTGTTATTCCATTCATTATTGAGTGCTTTCTGTAGGGTAAGTGCTATGCTCGTTGTTGGGGATTCCTGCCATCAAGGAGGTCAGGGTTTAGTAAAAGACTGAAAACAAAATTGCATGTACTCTGTGCTAATGGCAAGTGATGAAAAATGTAGCCCATTTAAATGGAGCATGGTGAGCTTGCAGTTAGTGAGTGAGTGAAATTTGGGAGAGCCTTTGTAGATTGGTGCTATGAAGAGGGTTAAGGATAGCACAGGTAGTTGACAAGGGTGTGAAGACCTAAAGCAGCCTGTATGTGAGCTCTGAATAGGTTTTGATCGGTGATTGGTAGGAGAGATGAACACTGGGTTTCCAAACTTTTTTATTCATACTCTCTGTCAGAATTTTTGAGAAACAACTGTAAGTGTATTTTGTCATACTTCACACAGTTTTAAAAATATTTTATATGTGTATGAGTGTATTGCCTGCATGTATGAGTACCCCCATGTTGTGCAGTGCCGCAGAGATCAGAAGAGAGCTTCAGAGTCCCCTGGAACTGGAGTTAAGGATGGTTCGTAGCCGCCATGTGGGTGCTTGGAATCGAACCCGGGTCCTCTGCAAGAGCAGTCAGTGATCTTAACTGCTGAGCCATCTCTCCAGCCCTACAGTTTCTTTTTTGAGACAGGTTCTCATGTAGTTCAGGCTGCCCTTGAATTCATTGTGTAGCCAAGGCTGACCTTGAACTCTCGATCTTCCTACCTCCACCTCTCAATTGCTATGATTACAAGAGTGCACCACCACACTTGCTGCAGTCTCATTTTTTAAAATTCCAGCAGTTGGGGGCTGGAGAGATGGCTCAGCGGTTAAGAACACTGACTGTTCTTGCAGAAGACCCAGGTTTGAATCCCAGCACCCACATGGAAGCTAACAACTGTCTGTAACTCCAGTTCCAGGGGATCCGACAGCCTCTTCTGTCCTCTGCAAGCATTGCACGACACGGGTGCGCTTACCTACATGCAGGCATAACATTCATATACATAAAATAAAATTAATAAATAAAACTTTTTAAAAAAAAATTCCAGCAGTGGTGTGTGCCTCTATAGTCCCAGCTACTCAGGAGACTGAGGAGGATGGCTTGAGCCTTGGAGTTTGAGGCTCAAGTCTTGTGATACAGTGAGACACTGTAAATGAATATCCCAGCAGTACATAAAAAAAAAATAAGATGGCATGGAGAGATGGGCGGATCAAGTATAATTAAAAAAAAAAAAGTCTCAGTAATGAATATTCCAATGTTCTCTGTAAAATTCTTTTGACTCTGCTGTGTGTTTGAAGATATCATGACAACATGCAGGGGGTGGGGGAGATTCCCAACAGTTCTTTAGTCCCGAGAACCACAGTTTAGGGAATGTGTAAATCTTATTTGCCTATGCTAGATTAGAAACAATCTGGTCTTTTAATATTCTTTCTAATGTACTTTGGGTGTAGGATTCTCTTTTCCTTAATAAGTCAGTGATCCTAAGAGAATGGGTTGTAAGAGTGACATTTTAAAAGTGTTTAGTGTGCTCGGTATGGTGGCACACATCTGTAATCTCAGTACTCAGGTTACTGAGGCAGAAAGATCGTGAGTTCTGGGCTACATAAGGGAGACGTCTCAAAAACCAAAGTATTGGGGCTGGAGAGATGGCTCATCAGTTAAGAACACTGGTTGTTCTTGCAGAAGACCTGGGTTCGAATCCCAGCACCCACATGGCAGCTAACAACTGTCCATAACTCCAGTTCCAGGGGATCCGACGGCCTCTTCTGTCCTGCACAGGCATTGCACGACATGGGTGCACTTTCCTACATGCAAGCAATACACTCATACACATAAAAATAAAAATCTAAAAAACCAAAGTGTAAATTGTGACTTTTAGTAGATTTAAGACTGAGTCCAGAATTGCATAAGCAGTACCATTCTCACTGAGTGAAGTGCTCTTGGTTGTGATGGGTGACGTTTTTGTTGTTGGAGTGATGAAGAATGTCTTGGATCGTGGTGCAGATTCAAGGTGTGTTAGTAAGTGCTTTGCCTTTTCAGAGGCCTGTTCTCTTTTAAAAGGTAGCAAGTTTTCACATGGGTGATGTGCATGGAGCATGTACATTTGTGTATTAGTGCCTCAGTGCAAAAACCCACTCCCTAAATTCCCTCCATGCCTTGGTTTTGTTCTTTGGAAGGAAAATGAGTCTTTATTTCAAGTCTCATTTTCATTTGTAGTAGAGAATTTGGAGATTGGGTTGTCTAGCTTTAGATGAGTTAGGACTTTCCAGGAAAAAACAATTGGTGTATATTGTTGAGATGATTTAGGGGAGCGGGAGCAGGGGTATTTTTTTTTCCTTGAGATAGGGTTTCACGATACAACTGTGGCTGGCCTGGAACTTGCTATGTAGACCAGGCTGGCTTCAAAATCACAGAACTCCACCTGCCTCTGCCTCCTGACTGCTGAAATTAAAGGCATGCACCACTATGCCCAGCCTGTTGAGATGGTTGTCATTTTGTTTGTTATAGTTATATGCTCAGTATACCTTTGTAAGCGAAAATAGCCAGTAGCAAGAAAATTCAGTAACCCCCCCCCAAGTTTCTGGCCCATTCGCTTCCAAAGGATCTCAGAAGCAGAGCAACTTAAAACAGTTTTAGACTGTGATTCAAAAGATGATGTGGTGTGATGCCAGAAGTGAAAGCTTTATTTAATGCTTTGTGTACATGAACAAAAATATAACTAGCATGTAAAACCCATCATTTTACAGCTGT